TATCTGCGGCTGCCCCTGAAACAGCTGTATCTGCGGCTGCCCCTGAAGCAGATGTATCTGCTGCTGTGGTGGTTGTGGCTGTGGTGGTGGGGGGGGCGGTGGGGGCGGTGGAGGTGGTGGGGGTGGTGGTGGCGGCGGCAGCGGTGGTGGCTGCTGCTGCTCCAGATAGGCAAATGTATGGGGCAGAGGTTCCATAGGCCCCAGAGTGATAGTGCTGTCTCCAAAGACATTTGGGGGAGCAGGAGGGACAAACTGCCAGAAACTCAACAGGGAGGATATGTCGAGAGCGGCAGGGATTGTTAGATTCACAGCATCTGCCACCAGCTCCCCGGGAAGGAGCTCTCCATTAGCCAGCTCAAAACCTAGGTTGAACCTGTGAGGTGGCTGAGGTTCTTGCATAGGCAAGTCCTCAAAGAAAGTGATGTTGTAAAACCCTTTAGTATCTGCTTTGAAAGGCAGGCTAGGAAGTATAGGGTATGAGGTAGCACTGGTGGTGAACTTAGGAATCTGAAAGACTTCAGGAGGAGAGCTTGGTGCTACCATGGGGTGCAGAGAGACAATGGGCTCTGGCAGTGGTGGTGGCATAGGCTGGATGGCCTGTTCTGGAGGCCCAAGGGTGAGGCTGTGAACCTCGGGTGGCAAGCTACCTACAAGCCCATCCTGGGCAGGAACTCCTATCGGGAAAGGAGACATGGGAGCAGCCTTCACTTGGAATGAAGGCTCCATAGTGTGGAAGTTGCTCAGAAGGTCTCCTCCGGCCTGCATACTCTCTCTCATGAGCTCCTGCGAGTGTGTCTTCTTGGTGTGACGGGTGAGGTGATCCTTGCGCCCAAATCTCTGGGCGCAGAACTGGCACAGGAAGTCCTTGCATCCTGTGTGGACCACCAGGTGGCGTCGCACATCCTTCCGGGTGTAGAAGCATCTCTCACAATGGTCGCACTGGTGCTTCTTCTCCTTGGGTACAGGTGGGGGCTTTTCTTCTGCATGGGCTTTGAGGTGGTCAAGCAGCGCCTCGGTGCTCCCCAGCTCCAGAGCGCAGACCCCACAGGTGAGGTCCCCGCTGCTGGCTGAATGCAGGGCCATGTGCCTCTTGTAGCCCAGCATGGTGTGGTACTTCTTTCCACACTCTTCGCACACATAGGCCATCTTGTTGGGGTCGTGGGTCTGGAGGTGGTTCTTCAGGTGGTCTTTCCGGTTGAACGTCTTCTCACAATGAGTGCACTGATGAGATTTCTGCGGCGAGTGAGTGGCCATATGCCTAGGAGCAGAAGGGAACATTACACAAGAATTACTTTATGACAAGAAAGGTCTAGAAACAATATTGTATCAAAATGGTAATAGATTTAATCTAGGTTTTGGCATTTTTATTTGAATTAATTTTTCCTGTATTTTCCAAATACACAAAATTTTATTGTAAAAAAAAATCACGAACTACTAAAGATATAATGCAACTTTCACATCTATCAGGAATATTTTTTAGGAACATATTTTCTTAATGTATTTGTTCAGAAATCTGTATGCAAGTATTTAAAAATATGTGATCATGAAAAATATTTTTTCAGGAGGGGGTTCAAGGGACACTTGACATTTTTTGTAAATTGAAATTTTCGAAAGTGACCCACTTTCCCAGTTTTATATCATTGTTCCTAATACAATTCCTGCATGGTCTGTATCAACTGAAAGAAAAAAAAGGAACCTTTTGAAATGTCTATCGTTAGCCTCAGAAAAAGTGTTAAGCTGAAGCCAGTTTTTAAGATCTCTGCCATCCTTGAATTTTAAAAAGATTCATTTTAATAACTAAAAATCTAAGGACTATGTGTTTGTATTTCTTATAAAATACAATCCTTCATTACAACTTGTAGCTCTCAGGTAGCACACAGGTTACTTTGTGTCCCTTATGACAGTTATCTTCTTTAGTGCACTGATGAGTGCAGTAAAAGTGAGTGCACTTCTCTTTAGAGGCTTAATTTGTTTTACTAACAATTTAAATGCAAATTGAATCCTTTGAACTAGTGACTCTGGATACAGAAGAACTTCTAACAATGCATTCTACCAAAAAAAGATCTCTTGAAGACAGAATAAGTTAAAAGTGTACTTAATTATATCTTCTACCCAACAACCAACCCTGTCTTGCCGAGTCCTAGAGTTGGAACAGGAAAGTGTTCTACCAACAGCAGTGCTTTGGCAGACAGTGATAGTGGTCCCACTACGAGGCAAACTGGAAGCCAGTTCAAAAATGATAAGGCTGGTCTGAATCAAAGCAAAACCTTCCTCTCTCACTTAAAAAAAAAAAATAGCCTGCTATGTGCAGCAAGAAAAGCTGGTTCCCTCTCTTTCCTCCAGGACACACAGCTTAGCATGCCTAATGTGGCAGATACTGTAAGATGGGAACAACACTCAAGAGACAAGAACCAATACAGTAGGCATTTGAGAGATCTGAAATATGCCAGTGTCTCCATGTTCTAGATGTATAAATTCATAGGCTGAAGAAAGGCTTTTAGAGCATGTCAGGGAGCAAACAGCCATGGTGTTCTACAAGATAAATCACAGGAATTGATAATGAAGGGGGAGCTGGCTTATGAACAGGACCCCAGAGGTCTGGCTAGGTCTTCTAGTGTTGCCCTTCTCCCATTTCTTTGTGGAACATTTTAATTTGGTTTGATTTCACCTATCACTCATGAGCAGATCAATACCAAGTTGATAAGGCTGGACCTGGCATTTCCTGCCTACTCTTGTAGGAATGGAACACAGGTTGGCATTAGTACTTAAGCAATATTACCACCTTTCATCAGTTCCCATCCCTTAGAGATTGATGACCATCCTTTGCCTGGTGTCCAGTTCTTCCCTTTACTTCCTCATGCAACAGTCCCAATCTAGAACATTAACCAATGCAAATGACTTCCACAACTTGGTACCCACCTTCAACTTCTCTCCTTACCCCAAAACCTCTGAAACTACCAGTTTTAGGGTATCCTATAGTCAGCACCAAATGTTACCATCTTGGGTGTCAACTGGATCATGCCAATGCTCTTATAAGTCTTCATGGGTGATTGAGACTGCCCTGCCATCTTTTCTTGCTCTTTGCCAACCTCCACCAAACTGATTCCATTGTTTGCTTTTGGGACCTATGTTCTCCTTTCTGGTTTAACAAGTCAGTTAGTTTGTTTGTGTTTTTTCCCTTCAATCTTATAAAATGAAACTTCTGTTGCAATTGTTGGGAAATAGGATGGAATGCTGCCCTATCATCTCTTTTTAAAGACAGACCTAAAGAAAGAATCAAGCTATCTCACCACTTGGGTTTTTTATGAGAGCGCTTGTAGGCCAGAGGCAGGAAATGTTGAGGCTGGGGGCAGTGGTTTTTGCATAAAGTATACAGCTTCTTTTTGCCAACTTTATGCCCTTAACTGAACATTTCCCTTGAACTACTGCCTCCTAAATATTGCTTAATATTTATTTGAGTGTGGTTGACCACAGTAATCCCAACTAATTCTACTCATTCCAATAATCTGTAAGTTACACTTTGTTTCCCAGGCATTTATCTCAGTCTTTACTCAAAGTTAGGGTACCTTGTGGGCCAGGCTGCAGCCCAGGCTGCCTTCAGTATTTGGAATGGAGATGTTTGCTGTGCACACTAACAAGCTCCATGCAAACCAGGGAGCCACTGTGACAGAATCAGTGCACCCGCCATTCTGCTATTTGTTAGTACTAGGTGGTGGCCTATGCACATCCAGATTAAATTATACCTCTGAGGTATAAAATACCTAAGCTTTTACACACTTAGGTTATATCATCTGTAACAGCGGTATCAAGGGCCACCAGCATAATTCATATCTACCTTCCCCCAGGGCACTCTGAGATTGAAATGATAATGTAGTCTGTGCCAATTCTCTAAACTCTGCACTTAGATGTAAGCAGTCAGAAAGGTGAAGCTTTAAAGATCATTTCAAGAAGATTAGAGGTGAGTGGCACATCTCTCTTAACCAGGCATCAAAAGAAGCGCCACATTCATAGAGTGCTGTGCACGTGGCTCTTGGGCACTGTAGACACCATGCCGACTACAGTCATTGTCCCTCAGACTAGTGTCTGACTGTACATTTTGTCTTGTCTATGATGGAAGAAAACCTGTTCCTATTAAAAAAAAAAATCCCTTGGAGGCAGAAGATATATCTCTCATTTCCCTCATAGAAGTAAGCACCTAACAAACACTCAAAATCATCCAGATTAAATGTATTTTTAAAGAAGATGAATCTGCTACAACAGTGGTTTTTATCCTTTGGTATATCACAGAGGCCTCTGCACATCTGATTCAATGCACATGCTTGGCATCTGTAGGACCAGTTGAACTTTACATGTTTGAGTGCTTTTTCCACCCAAGGTGACAAACCACTCCAAAAGTTCACACTCATGGGCCTTTCTTCTTCCTGTCGCTCTTGGGACCTGGCAAGCCCTCCCATTTTGTATACAGACTCTCGTGACAGGTTTCCAATCAACCTCTTCTCCACATTACTGTCAAAGTCATCTTTCTAATGCTCTAATCAATAAAAAGGAGCGCTTCCAGATAGTGGGTGAGACCTGGGGCACCTGTTTCCTTCTCACTGATGTGCTTGGTCTCACCCTCTCCTCCTCCAGGGTTACACTTGGTGCATGGCACCTGAAGGCCAAGGGTTAGAGCTTTTTTTTTTCCTCCCCATGCTGTAGATCTCAGAGGAGGACTGTCCCTCCTGAGCAGCCTCCACCTGCACAGTTGTCAAAGCACCACTGCATTTAATAGTTCTGCATGCCTACCCCACCCGCTTCTCACCTTTCTGCTCTTAGGCCTGCTACCCTGTGGGTACAAGAAATATCTGCTGAAGGAATTAACCAACATGGCAAAGCAAAATGGATGCAGAAAAGCACAGTAATCACTGGAGAGACAGCTTTGAAGACTCCCTAAAAGGCTAAAATATAGATTCAGATCCTGTATCCTGTTACTGTGAGTGGACTGAAGGCTCCAGAGCCTCTTAAAGGCCCTGTAAAAGCACATACCTTTCTAAAGCCTCTCACCTCATCAATTTATATCTGGAAACGAAGGCTTTGCCACAGTCGGTCTGCAAACACTTGAACGGGCGCTCCCTGGTGTGGGAATAACTGTGAACAGTGAACTTCTCCAGAGTGAGGAACGTTTTGCCACATATTTGGCAGGGGAATGCGGCCATGGGCTTTGCTTCTCACACCTTCCTTTTCAGATAGGCCAATCAAACGGTGTACCACTGAGGCACACAGGGAAGGAAGGTGCAGGGCAGAGACAGCAGCAGCAGCCACTAATTCTGTCCTCTCCTTTCCCAAGTCCCACTTCGCATGCAGCCTTGAGCCCAAGCGAGAAAGTCTGAGGCACAGAAGAGATCCAGGCACAGGAAGGGGGTCTGCATCATCTGACAGCCTGTGGAGATAAGAGGAATGGATTTCTCACATCAGCCACTTAAAAACCACACTTTCCCTCCCTAACACTTCAGAGCTGACTACCCACGGCCAGCATGTTCCTTCACATGGCTCTAGTGGGCACGGTTCTCCACCTGCCCTGTGCTTTGAGAGGCCCTTCTGCATAGAAACCCACTCATCTGCTCCTCCCGAGTGGCAAGGCATCACTGGCCAGCACTCAGAGGGCTGATGAAGCACTCTGTGACATAGACTCAGCATCATCTACTTTGAAAATTCTGGTCAGTGAGGCTCAGCAGACTGGCAAAAGAAAAAGAAAAAACCTCCCTGCCCTCATTGGAGTGCTCTACTGGTCCACACACAAAAATCACCCCTTATTCAAACCACTGGCTTTTTCTCTTCACCTGTTTTAGTATAGCACAAGTTGTTTATGACACCTGTCCAAACTTCCAGAGGATGAGAAGAAGTCATTTGTATACATCTAAGTTAATTTGCTTGTGAGATAACTATGCACAAGGACTGAGGAAACAAAACGTGGGTTAAAGCTGACGTGGCGAGGGGAGATGGAACAGCCCCGTGCAAACAGAACTGATAGCTCGCAAGGATGTTCAGGCCACATTTATAGACACTGTCCTCTGGAAAACTGTACTGTCTGCCTCTTATCCTTTTGTTTATGGGGACATTTCCTTATTCCTCAGGTAGCTGGGGGTAGCCTACCTTTAGTTCAACCTATCTAAAACCCAGGTTATTAACATCCCTCTCACTCAGCCAGAATCACCAAACTCCAGACCCTTCTTTCTCTATCATTGGACCATCATTTGTGAAAATGTGTCCAAGGCAGATCACCCAAAGTCCTGTCCAACCCCTCATTCCCTTCCAGTTTTCCATCTCCTTCCTGAGGCCTCACCTTGAGGCATCCTCAATAACCCTGGCTACAAATTCCTTCTAGGAATTCCATCTCACTCATGGAGCCTGTGCTGCCAGGTCTTAGGATCCCATCCTACTTCACAGCCAGCCTAGGCCTGGCCATAATACTCGACCAGCTTTAAAACACTCCCTTCACTTGGGATTGCTCTTTTCTTCTTCTCAAGTCTCTTTTTAAAAGACTAAAACATACACTGATTATGAAGTTTGAAATATAACTATCCTTCCTTCCCTTTACAGCTAAACTCAAAACAGCCCTCATCACTTCAGAGGAACTGGTTTGGTAGGGAAGATTTTGTATTTGTCTCACCTGCTTACAATTCCAGTCATATACACTTTTTTTTTCTATTTATCTCAGTAAATTAATTCTCCCCAAGTTTCGCTTTATGAGATGACCAGTGTAGCCAACAGAACTTTGGTGATGACGGGAATGTTATATTATCATGGCTACTGAACATTCAAAATATGCTGCTGTGAAACAAGACTAGTGTCCCACACAGCAGCCACTAGCTGTGTCTATTTAAATAATTTGGCATTTGAAGATGGCAGGTATAATCAGAGAGCAACATGGCCATGCTTTGTCTAAGCTTGAGGCTCATTTCCTCCAACCTCAAGTCCTCCAACTTTAACTCAAACTTTTCATACTTGCTTCATAAATGTCTTTCTCCTAAGACTTTATCTTGTTAAGTTTTAGGGTTGTGTTTAATATACACAACACCACAGAGTACAAGGCTGGTCCTCAAATGCTGACCTGAATGGAGTCCATGATAGTGAACATTCTCTAACTTCTTCAGGGAGTCTTTAGGAATGAATTCAACTTCATAAATAGTTATAACATTCCAGTTACCATAATTGTGTATTTCATAAATATGGACCTGAGAATACAAATATTTGTACTGTTTTCATGATATATTCATAAACTTCTATAAAAATTGTCTTTCCCCACAGACTATAAATTCTTTGTGGCTCAGGATCAAAGCTCAGCTATCTTAAAAAAAAACAACACAAAAACCATGTGGCTATATACTACATCTCTCATCGCCATGTTCTCAATTGGTGTTGGCTGTATACTAAAGATTCCAATCTTTGGATGAAACCCGATACTCTTTCTGGCCCTGTCCTTGAAACAGACTTAGGGTTACTTCGAATTGAATGGCAGACCACCAGCAACCTAACAGAGAAGTGACAGAGTGAAGGTCCTGATGAGAATGGGTCTGTTCTGTCACTTGACATACATACTGCACTTGAATCTTAAATACGGTACTATTTCAACACCTGTCACCATGGAAAGATAGTAAGTCTTCCCCCAAAACATCTCAGGACACAATTTTCAGTCCCCTTGATTCTAAAAATACTCAGTGAGTGATACAGATCTGCCAGTATGCCAAAGAAGGCTTGTACCATCTGCTTCGTTCTGCTCATGCTGATTATTTTGGGGATGAGAGAGGATCAGACTGGAATAAGAACATATATATATATGGCAACAGCCAGGAAAGACTGTGTTCCCTGGGGGCTAGAGGTAAACGGTGGTGGTGGTGGGGGGTGGTCAACACAAGTGCAGTTCCAGGACTTCCCCACTGCTGCACAACACAATCGTCTAACGGGGACAACTGTTTCACAGCATTCTCAAAATAAACCATGACTTCTGGCTTCTATTTCCATTGTCCCCAGTGACACAATGCAAGGCCCATTTCTGAGAGGAAACTGAATTTCCATTTTTGGCCTTCCAAGATGGGTGCTTTTAAGTCCTTGTTTCCATTCCATTCATTACTATGTCTACTAGATAAGAAGGTTCTCCTCCAAATGTCTGTCTCCCTCACACTCCCAAGACATGGGACTGTTTTCAAATATATACATTAAAGCTGATTTTAAAAGGGTCTCTGACAAGTTTTTTTTTTTCTTATATTCACAAACAATGAAGCAGCCAGTCATGGAATAAGAGAGGTAGAAATCCTTTGCTTAACTGGTCCTAGGAAGTTTTCAATCAGGGTACCCTTCTCAAAATCAGCACATGAGAAGCAAGTCTATCAACAAATTAAAACCAAAACTGTTCAGAATCATCAGCAAACAGAAAGAGACCCAGAAGAATCTCTAGGTAGTTGTGACTGCTTATTTTTTTATTCTATTCTGAAATTTGCTGGGTGCTTTTCCTGAGCCAGTACAATGTCAGAAGAGCTTGGTTTGCATGTCTAATCAGCAAAACAGGTGCCCATGGCACTTACTGCTTTGAAGATCACACTGGGGCCCTCACCAGTCCCTTCCAGGATGGCTATAGCTGGATTACCAGCCTTGAATGAGACCAGGGTCTTAAGTGGGGCCCATGGCAGCTCAGCAGGGCCCCTGGGAACTCTCTGGTGGTCTATACAGAATCGAAAGCATGCATACTGAGATTCTTATGGAGAGAAGAACGATAGCATTTTTAAATTTTTCTAAGCGGTCCTAGATTCAAACAGGTTAAAGGGCATTGGCTCAACTGATAAATAAGAGAAAATCCTTGGTGCTATCAATATTCTACTGGGCTCTTCACAGTGTCATTAGTGTCTCCTAATCCATGGGCCACAGATTTGGGGCTTGAATTCTTTCAGGTAAAAGTGGGAAGAAAAAAAAAAGTTCTATATTGTTTTTCTGGAATTCAAGCAGTAAATAACTTGTACAAATTTCATTTCAAGTATAGATCCTGTCCTGTAAGGCAGTCTACCTTATGACTAGAGGGCAAGCTGCCTTCAAATCACAGGGGTTTATCTGTCTACATCTTTAAAAGTCTTTATTAAAGGTCATATATCCTCAATAAAGTACTAAGATATTATCATTAAAATCCTGACACCTGAGCTGACATGTCACTGGGAAGACAGCACTTGCCTAGGATGAACTCAGGCTGGACACTCAGGGACTGTCAGCCTGCTATGTCTGCAGACCTTTCCCCAATAATGGCCCAAAGGATATCAAGGCCACAAATCAGTCTCCCTGTTGTTTCTTCCAAGTGCCACACTCTCTTGTATTTCTCCTTCTAGAATGCCCACTATCCCTTGTCCATCTGCCAAACTCTTATTTTTCTGTCACGCCCAAACAGAAGAATGAGTTCTTCCACGTGGTGGGGTCCACTCAGTAGTCTAGTGGACATCTCCACCTCCATCTGTCTGACACTGTTTTGCCCCAGTTTATGCTGGGTGGTGGAATGCCCTTACTGCCCTGTCCTGCTGTCCTGCTCTGAGGAGGGCCACCCTACAGCCTGCTGAGAAATCAGGTTTGCTGCCTATATTCTTTCAAACTGTCACCCTGAGAGACTTAATTTTGTTAAGCCAGTGACTAAGCTCCTGTTTTCTTAGAAAGGAGGCTTAAAATAAGCAAGAAAGCTACAGTGAAGTGTTTATCTAATATTCAGAGAGAAAACTGAGAAAGCTGTCGAGGAGACTCTATCACAACTTTAGAACACCAAGTCCATACACTAACCAGACATTTTTAAGAGGACGGGTACCTTCTGTTCACAGTGTGAGTCATCTAAAGACGGTGGATTGAATGTAGGCACACAGCTCATTTTTCCTGAAACTCTACTAAAAGACAAGGGCAAATGGGAGCTCCTCAGGGATTCACTGGCGCTGCCTGACAAGCCCTGCTACTATGTCTACAAAGCTTCCAGCAGCTATGCCATGGCTCTCTACTTATAAATCAGTAGGTGCCAAGGAAAAAGGAGAAAAGGAAAATGAACACAAAACCAAACTAACAGAACCAGGCAGCTTGGAGTGGGAAAGGCAGACCATGGAGGAGAGATTTGAATTAACACCTGCCAGATTCTTAGGTATCTGCATCTGGCAGGTGGCTTATTTTGAGGGTACCTGCTATTTTTCCATGTGACCTA